GATGTGGGACTCAATCCGGCACCCTGGGATCACGCCCTGAGCCGAAGGCAGGTGCCCAACCGCTGAGCCACCTAGGCATCCCCAAAGCATTTTTTTATACGAACAATGAAAACATTGAAACCAAAATGAAAAACAGTACCACCTACAATTTTTCAAACTAAAATGGATTTTTCTTTCTCTCTCTCCTCTTGTGTTTCCCTTTCTTTCTTTTTCCTTCCTTCTTCTTCCTACCCCTTGCCTAATTGTTCTGTCTAGGATTCCTAGTACAATGTTGAGTAGCAGTGGTGAAAGCGAGCATTCTTACCTTATTTCTGAACTTGAAAGCTTTCCATTAAGTGTAATGTTAGCTGGTGTGTGTGTATATGTTCTAATAAATGCTCTTTGTCATGTTAAGGAAGTTTCTTTCTATTTCTAGTTTGCTGAGTGTCTGTGCCTAACTTTTTTTTTTTTTTCTGACAAAGATGTAAAAGAAGTTCAATGGAAGAAGGTTAGCCTTTCAAAAAATGATACTGGAATAAATGGATATCCATAGGGGAAAAAAAGGAATTCGGACCTAAATACAAATATTAACTAAAAATATTTCACAAACTTAAATATAAAATGTAAAAGTATAAATTTTTTTTTTATTTTTTTTTATTTATTTATGATAGGCACACAGTGAGAGAGAAAGAGGCAGAGACAAGGCAGAGGGAGAAGCAGGCTCCATGCACCGGGAGCCCGACATGGGATTCGATCCCGGATCTCCAGGATCGCGCCCTGGGCCAAAGGCAGGCGCTAAACCGCTGCGCCACCCAGGGATCCCTATAAAATTTTTATAAGCAAAAATATAGGAGAAAATCTTTGAATCTAGGGCCTGGTAAAGAGCACTTTGACACCAAAAGCACAATCCATGAATGGAAAAATTAAGGACTATATGTAGCATATATAAAGAATTCTCGGGATCCCTGGGTGGCGCAGCGGTTTAGCGCCTGCCTTTGGCCCAGGGCGCGATCCTGGAGACCCGTGATCGAATCCCACGTCGGGCTCCCGGTGCATGGAGCCTGCTTCTCCCTCTGCCTGTGTCTCTGCCTCTCTCTCTCTGTGTGACTATCATAAATAAATAAAAATTAAAAAAAAAAAAAAAAGAATTCTCAGGGCAGCCTGGGTGGCTCAGCGGTTTAGTGCCCGCCTTCAGTCCAGGGCGTGATCCCAGAGACCCGGGACTGAGTCCCACATTGGGCTCCCTGCATGGAGCCTGCTTCTCCCTCTGCTTGTGTCTCTACCTCTCTTTCTCTGTGTCTCTATGAATAAATAAATAAAATCTTAAAAAAAAAAAAACAATTCTCAAAGCTCAGCAATGAAAACAATCAAATTTGAACAGGCAAAAGACATGAACAGACATTTCATCAAATATCCATATGCAAATGTTTTAACATTACCCTCAGGGATATGCAAATTAAAATGATATAACTACACACCTATCAGAATGTCTAAAATACAAAGTTGTGACAACACCAAATGTTGAGGATGCAGAGAAACTGGATCACTCATATTGCTGGTTGGACTATAAAATGTATAATCACTCTGGAAAAAGTTTGGCAGTTTTTTATAAAACTAAACACATAATTACCCTGCCATACAGCGTTGTACTCTTGGGTATTTAGACTCGAAAAATAAAAAACTTATGCTCACACAAAAACACGTATACAAATGTTCAAAGTGGCATTTATTTCTTAATAATCCAAAAACAGGAAAAAATCCAAATGTCCTTCAATGCAAGGATTGTTACACAAACGGTGGTAAATTAATAGCACTACTCAGGCATAAATAGGAACAAACTGTTGATAGACAAAGTAACTTGGACAGATTTTAAGGATATTATGTCAAATATAAAAAGACAACCCCGAAGGCTACATACTGTATGATTACATTCATTCTTGAAAGGACAAAATTATAGAGATGGTTAATGGATTAGTAGTTGTCAATGGTTAGGGACAGGAGAAGGGAGAGTGGAAGGTGGATGTATTTATAAAAGTGTGTCACTTGAGGATTGTTGTATTGACAGAACTGTTTTGTGTCTTGATTACAGTGTTACAAGAATGGATATAGGATAAAACTGCAGACACACAGGTACATGAAAAACTGGTATAGCTAAATAACCTTGATAGAGTGTATCAATGTTTGATTACCCATTGTGATCCTGTATTACGGTTTTGCAAGATGTTACCACAGGGAGAACTGGGTGAAAGATATGTGTGATCTCTATTATTTCCTATAGCTTAATCTGAGTCTATAGTTATCTAAATTCAGTCTAATTTTAAAATATTATGTAAAATTAATAGTTGGTAGATTTGATATTTTTGGGAGCAGTGCTCCTAGTATTTTAATTATCGGCTAGATCTATACATATATATTAATACTAACATAACCTATATTTCATTAACAAGATTAACTTTTTATTCTAATTTTACCTATTTAAAATCAGGTACAAGGGGCACCTGGGCTGCTCAGTTGGTTAAACATCTGACTCTTGACCTCAGCTCAGGTCTTGATCTCAGGGTCTTGAGTTCAAGCCCCACTCCATGCTGGGTGTGAAGTCTACTTAGAAAAACAAAAGAAAACAAAATCACATTGAGTGCAAATATTAAAGCCTTATCAACAATTTTATAGTGTTTAGTGATATTACTTTCTTAATATATTATTTTGTTATATTTCATTAATAAGTTTTCTAATATTGAAACACCTTTACATTCCTGGCATAAATTATAATTGGTAGTAGTTCATCACTTAAAAATTTTTGTTAAAAAAATAAAAATAAAAAATAATTTTGTTATACCCAGGTGCATGGTGTCTCGGTTGAGTGTCTGCCTTTGGCTTGGGTCGTGATCCTGGGATTGGGCCCCATGTTGGGCCCCCTGCTCTCCATTGCCTCTCCCCCAGCTCATGTTCTCTCTCACTCTTTCAAATAAATATATAAAATCTTTTTTAAAAAATAAAAATTTAAAATAAAAGTTTTCATTACAGAAAACTTCACGTACAAAAGTTGAGTAACCATATGAGTCCCTATGTACACATCACCTAGATTCAACAACTATGAAATCATGGCCAATTGTTTCATCTCAACCCTCACATACTCCTCCTCCACTGAACTATTTTGAAGTTCCAGATTTCATATAATTTTATCTACTAAAAGACAGTGACTTTTTAAAAATCACATAAGCAAAAAAAAAGGGGGGGGGAATCCCTGGGTGCCTCAGCGGTTGGGTGCCTGCCTTCTGCTCAGGGCGTGATCCTGGAGACACTGGATCGAAACCCTGGATCGAGTCCTGCATCGGGCTCCCAGCATGGAGCCTGCTTCTCCCTCCATCTATGTCTCTACCTCTCTCCCTATCTCATGAATAAATAAAATCTTAAAAAAAATAAAAATAAAAATCACATGAGCACAAATGTCACTATTATACCCTTATAGACTCTTCTTTCTTTTCTTTCTTTCTTTCTTTCTTTCTTTTCTTTCTTTCTTTTCTTTTCTTTTCTTTCTTTCTGATAGTCACACACAGAGAGAGAGGCAGAGACAGGCAGAGGGAGAAGCAGGCTCCATGCACCGGGAGCCCGACGTGGGATTCGATCCCGGGTCTCCAGGATCGCGCCCTGGGCCAAAGGCAGGCGCTAAACCGCTGCGCCACCCAGGGATCCCCCTATTATACCCTTATAATCAACAATTCTTTTTTAAGATTTATTTATTTATTCATGAGAAACACACACACACACACAGAGGCAAAGACACAGGCAGAGGGAGAAGCAGGCTCCATGCAAGGAGCCTGATGTGGGACTCGCTCCCCGGGCTCCAGGATCACACCCTGGGCTGCAGGCGGCGCTCAACCGCTGCGCCACCGGGGCTGCCCATAATCAACAATTCTTGAATATTGGGACACCTGGGTGGCTCAGTGGTTGAGCGCCTGCCTTTGGCTCAGGGTGTGACCCCGGGGTCCTGGGATCGAGTCCCCCATTGGGCTTCCTGCAGGGAGCCTGCTTCTCCCTCTGCCTGGGTCTCTGCCTGTGTCATCCCTCATGAATAAATAAAATCTTAAAAAAAACACAATTCTTAAATATTATCAAATATCCAGTGTTCACATTTGTTTAAAGTGGGATCCAAACAAGTTGTGCATACTGCAATTCGTTGACATGACTCCTACTTCTAAGTTTATAGAATCTTCTGTCATTTTAGTTTTTTATTAAAGTGTTGTTTGTCCTGTGTAGTCTCTCAGGATTTGGATTTTGCTGGTTACGTCCCAATGATGTTTAATAGGTTAATATGTTCCTCTGATCCCATCTTTCCAGAAATGAGCACTTAGGTCTAGGGTCTTTGTGGTGGCAGCAGTAGTCACGGATGATCACTGTCTAGGCCCATTAATTCAGATGAGTGATATTCTAATTTTATTATTCCTTCTTAATACTTGTAAAGCTACCACCCTTGTATTAATGGCCCTCCAATCAAGTTGTTATCCGACACTCATTCTCTGGTAGATTCCTCAGGTCCAGGGATCCTGGAGACAATGTTCTATGAGTTTGCATATTGATGATAGTTTGCTTGTGGCTTTTATACTTGAGTCAATTTTGTTGGGCATGTGGGTGGCTCAGTCAGTCAAGCGTCTGCCTTCAGCTGAGGTCACAGTCCCGGGGTCCTGGGACCGAGCCCTGCATTGGGCGCCCTGCTTGGTGCAGTCTGCTTCTCCCTCTCCCTGCTTGTGCTTTCTCCCACATTCTCTCTCTCTCTTTTTTTAAAAGTCAATTTCGTTGGAATATAAAATCCTGAGTAAGTTTATGTTACTTCATTGTCTTCTGGCACAGAATGTCATTATTAGGGCAGTCCCGGTGGCTCAGTGATTGAGTGCCTTTGGCCCAGGGCGTGATCCTGGAAACCCGGGATCGAGTCCCACGTCGGGCTCCCTGCATGGAGCCTGCTTCTTCCTCTGTGTCTCTGCTTCTCTCTGTCTCTCATGAATAAATAAAATCTTAAAAAAAAAAAAAAAGAACATCATTATTATGAGGGACACCTGGGTGGCTCAGTGGTTGAGTACCTTTGGCCCAGGGTGTGATCCCAGGGTCCCGGGATCAAGTCCCACGTCAGGCTCCCTGCAGGGAGCCTGCTTCTCCCTCTGCCTGTGTCTCTGCCTCTCTCTCTGAATCTCTCATGAATAAATAAAATCTTTATTTATTTATTTAAAAAAATTTTTTTTATTTATTTACGATAGTCACAGAGAGACAGAGAGAGAGAGAGAGAGGCAGAGACACAGGCAGATGGAGAAGCAGGCTCCATGCACCGGGAGCCCGACATGGAATTCGATCCCGGGTCTCCAGGATCCCACCCTGGGCCAAAGGCAGGCGCTAAACCGCTGCGCCACCCAGGGATCCAATAAATAAAATCTTTAAAAATAAGTGTCATTATGAAAAACCATGATAATAATCAGATTTACCTTCCTTTATAAGTGACTTGGCTTTTTAGCCTGGATTCTCAAAGGAATTTTTTTCTTTAAACAAAAAAAATTTTTTTTGGCCATGACTATTCTGGGTCACATTCTTAAGCATACAGCTTATCTTTTCAATACATAGTCTTTTTCTTTTTTTATAGATTTGAGAGCGAGCGTCAGGAGAAGGGACAGAGGGAGAGAGAACCTCAAGCTGACTCCCCAGAGCCCAACACCCCATTGCATGATGCTGAGATCATGACCCCGGCCGATACCAGGTGTCACTCAACCGCCTGAACCACCCATGGGCCCCCATACATCAAGTCTTTCCAATTTCAGGCAAGCTCCTTTGATTTACAGAGTATTCGTCAGGGTCCAGTGAGGACAGAGAAGCCCTATTAGTTATCTGAGCAGAGGGACTATGAAAACAAATGAACAAGTAAGTAAAGAGGTAAGTAGGTTACTGAAACAATAAAAAGAAAACACCAAAATGTCATAGAAGCAAATTCTCAGGGATGAGAGAACAGAATAAAGGAGATAGGAATTAAAATTTAGAGGGACCTCATGGAGCTGAAAGTCGGACCTCTGAGGAAGGATGCTGGTGCTGCTGGTGGGCCTGAGACCTAGATCCCCGCAGTCACGCTAGCATCTCACGACAGGATCAAAGCGGTTCCGTAGGTGTTGTGAAAACTGCAACTGTGTTCAGTTCCTGCTCGGGAGGGAGGAGGTGCTCTCACAGTGAAGCAGCACTGTTGGAATGATGTTCACAACCATGCACCTACATAAAGCCCAGGAAGCACACAGGAAGGAACAAATCCCTTCTCCCTCAGGCTTGGCACCGTCCTCCAGTGTCCCCTATGGTACAGGCTGGAGGAGAACTGCTGTGTTTCGGAGATCCAGCTTTATCATCCACAAAGCAGACAGAATGGTGGGTGTGGAGCTGAGGCAAAATCTTTTTTTTTTTTTTTTAAGTTTATTTATCCATGAGAGACAGAGGCAGAGAGAGACAGGCAGAGGGAGAAGCAGGCTCCATGCAGGGAGCCTGATGCGGGACCCAATCCCAGGACCCCAGGATCACACCCTGGGCTGAAGGCAGGTGCTCAACCGCTGAGCCACCCAGGTGTCCCAAGACCAAATCTTAGTAACTGGGATCCGGTTTTTACTATTTGTTCTTTTCTATCGCTTTGGATTACTGTGTAGCTTTTGATGTTCTTTTCCGTTGCCTCAATTTTTCTGAAGATTCCTTTTATATGGATATCAAGTCTTCTGTATTTGATAACACTTTCTCTTGAATCCTTGCAGTCTCTTCTTTTGACGGGAAACATTTCCTTCCTGCCCATTCTGTTTCTTAGGGATTATCAATCATGTCTTACTCACATTGGAGTCCCTCCTAGTTTAGTTTTCACATTTTTTTCTTTTTAAAGTAGGCTCCGTGCCCAGTGTGGAGCCCAGCGCAGGCTCTGAACTCCCAACCCTGAGATTGAGACCTGAGCTGAAATCAAATCGGACACTTAGCCGACTGAGCCAACCAGGCGCCTGAGTTTTCAGTTTTAAAGTGATTTTTCCCCTTTAATTTCTAATGCTTTGCTGAATTGTTACTGATCTTTTAAAATCTTTCATCTACTTATCTGAACTTTTCTAATTTTTATAGCTTTCATAATTTTCTTATTTCTATAGCTTGGTTTAAAACCATTTTTATGTTTTTAAGGATAATTGTTTTCTATTTTTGTATTAAATCCTACAATTCTGTTGTTTGCTTCTATGTGAAATGCATTTTCCTGTACTTTTAGGGAGGTAGAAAGGACAACTTAACTTTTCTGGCCCCAAGGTTCATTCAATTCTATTATTTTCACAAAATTACTTGAGATTCTGCTTCTGATTCTCTCCTTCATTTCACTCTATACATGGTCTTTCCTTTGTCCCTACTATCCCTGTCCTGATCAATTTGGTGTCTATAGCTAGCAGTTCCTCCTTAATTGAGCTGTTTGGAAATAAAGCTTGTATCTGTTAGTTTCAAGAGTTCATAAGAACCAAAAAGAAAAAAAAAGTTCATATGGACTGAGACTACTCCAAAATCTTCAGAACTTAGCACAGTCCCCTTAAATTCACCAGCTAACTGACATCTGCAGGAATCTTCTGTTTGGGTTGTTGTTTCCAAATTAGACTGCCATGCTTTCTAGTGGAAATCTGTTGATTTGGGGGATCTCTTGATTTTCAAGGCTATCAGATGTCCCACTGCTTTTCCTCCATGGCTTTCTAAAGATAGCCAATACCATTCAGGATTGCTTTTGAGTTTGTCACTACCTAATCTTATTTGGGGACTATGGGGATACACGGTCACCAAGATTGGTTGAAGATGCTGGGCATCAATTTCTGCTTCAATGGATTTGGGGAGATTAAAAAACCTCTTCTGTTATTTATACACTTCTGGTGGTTAATCTTTTATTTGGGAACATTTCTGACAAGTTTGTATTAAGAGTTAGTAGAACACAGTGATTGGGAGCACGGGCTAGTCACACTGCCTAGATATAAATCCTACGTTCACCATTTACTAACTGTGTGATCTGTATCCCTTTGTGTTTTTGTTTCCTGTGTAAAACAATAGGTTGTTGAGAGATCTAAATGAAACAACCTATGTAAAGCACTGAACAGAATACTATATTACATAGTAGGTATTCAACCAAGATAGCTGTCTTAATTACTGTATTTTTCTTTTTCAGGTCTAGGTCTTATATTACTCACTTTATAGACTACCAAAAAAAAAAAAAGTAAAAACCAAAACATTTGAATATTAAAAAAGAAAAAACCCAACCCAACCTCTTGAAATCAATTCCTGGTTTCATGATAATATAGAAACTACAACTGCGAACAGCTAGAAAATAATGAAAATGAGAAAAAGACATGGTTGACAAAGGTGAGTTCAGAGGAATATTCAGAGCACTAAAGCACTTTCATTACAAAATAGAAAAGAATGAAAATACATGCAAGAAGCATTCAGTACTAGAGGTTAACTAATTGCCTTCTATTTTGTTTTCTTTCTCTTTTTTAAAGGTAAAGTAGAGGGCAGCCTGGGTGGCTCAGCGGTTTAGCGCCGCCTTCAGCTCAGGGCCTGATCCTGGAGACCTGGGATAGAGTCTCGTGTCGGGCTCCCTGCATGGAGCCTGCTTCTCCCTCTGCCTGTGTCTCTGCCTCTCTCTCTCTCTGTGTCTCTCATGAATAAATAAATAAATAAAATCTTAAAAAAAAAAGGTAAAGTAGAAATCAATGAATTAAAAAAAAAAGACAGTAAAATGATAATACCAAATGTTGGTAAGTATGTGCAGAACAGAGACACTCAGGTAGTGGTGGGAAAGAAAAACATATAAAGCCGAGGCTTAATTAAAGTGGAAGATGAACATAGCCTTGAACTATCAAGTCTATTTTTAGGTTAAGTACCCTAGAGCAGACTTTCCCAACTAGCATGTCAGGGATAGGTGGCTGGGTAAGGCCTTTACTGGCCACAGCTTCCAAAACCTCATCTTTTTCCTAGTGCAGCCGCCTATAAATATTATTTTCTGTATTATCATCCACCTAAAGAACTGCTGAGTAATTTCTTCTAGCATCTTTCTTGGACCGCCACATTAGAAAGCTAAGTTTCATTGGAGTCAGGGCCTTGTTTTAGTCTCTGCAGGATCTCCAGCAGCTAGAACAGTGTTTAGTATATAGTACTTGTTGAAAAACATTTGTTGAATGTGCAAATGCATACTACATATGGAAATGTCATTGGAGTATTAATAAAAGTGCAAAATCAAGGAGTATAAAATTTCCATTTAAATAGAGAAAGGATGAACATGTACAATCATATAATGGGGTAATACTCAGCAGCTAAAAATAAATGAACTAGAAATCCATCTATAAATTTCAAAAACATTGAATGAAAAAAAATTATTGGAAGGTATGTACAATGCAAGTTAGAGTTTTATATAAAGTTCATAAATATGAAACAAAGCTATCTTTTAAGTATAAAATTAAACATTCATGAAAAGAAGCACAACAAATCATTGCTTCTCGGGAAAATAGAAGAGGAATGCTATCAGTAAACAATCTGCAAGAGAGCTCCATCTTGCTCTGTAATATTTTATTTCTGAAGTAAAAATCTGGAACATAGTAAAATGTTAGGATTTAATAGGATTAAATGTTATTTAGTATACTCTTTGTATTTTTATGTTAAACCATAATATTTTTAAAAGGTAGGACTGATAAATAAATCTAAGAATGTATCTGAAAAACAAGTAAATAAGTCACTGGCTGGCTAATCAAGAAAGGAAGCATGTAGAAATTGATGAGGAAACAGTATACAAAAAAAAAAAACTTTCTATGGCTCTATGTAAATCATTTTTTGAAAAACCTAAATAAAATGGATGCTCTCTCTAGAAAAATTACAAATAATAATTGAGGAGAAAGAAACAGAATGGTGGCAGAAAAATATTCCTAAAAGAAACAAACAAATTTCTAGGCCTAAATACATCTACCACTAAATTCTTGGAAGTCTCTGAGAGACAGATTTTCCTTCATCACCGGAACCTTTCTAAAGTATAGTGATAGAAAAAGAGTCTTTTTTTTTTTTGGGGTGTGTGTGTGTGTGTGTGTGTGTGTTATTTGTTATTCAGTCATATTTTCATAAGGAAGATTAAGAATTCATATTGTGTCATCTGGCTATTTGTGTCAACCAAAACCACAGCCATGTTTAACCATGACAGTTCATAGGAAAAGGAAATACAAATAGCTCAAGTAGATACCCAACCTTATTCTTAAGTGAAAATACGAAATTCCACTGGGGCTTAGAACAGACTGGCAAAGATTAAAATGTTTCAGAACTCTGTTTATAAAGATTCAAGGAAATAGGCAATATCACACACACATGGTTGAATGGGACTTAAATGGGCATAATCCTTATAGAGCAATTTGTCAGTATTTATCAAGAATAAAAATGCATAAATCTTCTGACCTAGTAATTGCAATTTAAAATTTTATCTTAAAAAAATAAAAAATAAAATTTTATCTTACAGTAACTCACTCATGTGCAATATGACCTACATACAAGGTTACTAAATGTGGCATTCTTTATAATAGCAAAATACTGGAAAGAATTTAAATGTTTGCTGTTAGGGACTGCTCAAATATTTTATGGTACATCCATACAATGAAATTCTATGCAGTTGTAAAACGAAATCAAGAAAAAAACTATGTACTGATATAGGACAATTCAAAAATATGTTAAGCGGACAAGCTGAAGAATGGTGTGCACTGCAGAGTACTATCTATGAAAAATATCACCAGGAGCGTATCTGAGAAACAGCTAACACAACAGGGAGGGGGAATTGCATACTACAAAGGGGAAAGAGACTTTTCATTATACATTAATCTGGTTTTTGAATTTTGAATCAAGTGATTGTTACATGTTCTGATAAAAAAAAATGTTTTCTTAGAAAATAAAATTCTGAAATTAAACATTCCAGTAGAAATACAAAATTCTTTTTACGTAAATCCAAATTAGCAAGTGTTATATTTCTTTCATCCGATGGATAAACTTTTCCACAATTCCATTGAGTCTTTCAGGTTCCATCAGTTTATTTACCAATTCCTGCTCAATAGCCATTAGGGCCAGGCCACTAAGCTTCTCTTGTCCCATGGTATGACATAAATATGTTTTAAGACGGGGCAGTGTAGAAAATATATTTTGAGCACTTGAAGTAACTGGCCAAGACAAACCAATATATAATAACTTTGATATGCAAGGAATATTATTGTGAAGACCATGCTGAATAAACAAATAGCCAAGATCGATGAAGTTGATACAATCATAATTTATGACAAAATTGAGCTTTGCATATTGCCGATAAAATCTAAGTTCTGGGATGATGTCTGCATCAAGTTTATAAAATTCTTGGACCTGTTTGGCTGTTGTTTCATTTAACGGTTCATTCCATTTAAATAATAGTTCTGAAATTTGTTTCATTTTGCAATAATCAAACTCTGAAAAACATAATTTTAAATTATCTAATATAGTGTCCAATCCTTGGTAATAAATATTAATTTTATATTGTTCTTCTGTTGAGGTAGGAAAAAACATACTATCTGAATTGCCAAAATCTATTGTTTTCTGAATTTTTCTTCTTTTCTGAAAAGAAGGTCTTTCAACTTCAAAACCTTTACTGGTTATTTTTTGACATATTTCCTCTGCTCCATCCCAGATAGTTTTGAAATAGGCATCATTTCTCTCAGATGATAAACATTCTAAAATTGCTTCTATTTTTGAAGACAATGAAAAAATATCTATGGTTTCACTTTGAAGCTCTTTGGAAAGAATTCCTGTAACACTTAACACTCGATAAAGAAATTTCAAACAAAAGATAAATTCAAATTTGGAGACCAGTATTAACAAATTATTCAATTCATCATCCAAACTTGTGTTTGAAGAATGGCTTGATACAACTTCCAAAGTTTCAATAATCTCCGGAAGACCCTCAATCACAGATAGTAACATATGATCGTGAACTGTCCAACATGATTGTGATGTATGTTTCTTGCATGTTTTGTTTTGACTTAGCTTACAGATGTTTTGAAAATTTGCAGACATTTCCCCAGACATATGAATAGTGTTGAACAAAGAGCTGAGAGTATTTAGAGTACTTCGGAGTTCTTTCACTTCTTTACAAAACCTAATTACTGCTAAATCCAAAAAATGTGCATAACAATGTATGTACAAAGCTCTTGGCTCTTCTTTTTTGAACTCTGCTGCAATTTTATTAAATTTTCCCCTCAAATTGGCGGTACTATCATAGGCCTGGCCACATATCTTATTCAGATCAACTCCAATTTGCTGCAGGTACGTTTTGATAGTCCTATGTAAGTTAGTCCCACTCATCTCTTTAACATCTATGAAGCCCAAAAATCTTTCTTTAATTAAGATAGCCTTTGACATTTTTTGTGGGTATCTTACACAAATTGCAAGCTGTTCTTTAGTGGCACTATCAGTTGTCTCATCACATATTATAGAAAAAGCTGAGGAGACATTGATTTCATCCACAATATCTTGCAGCATTTCAGTCTTTATTATTTCAATAATATCATCTTGAATTTGTGTACTATTATAGAAGTCAACTTGTGAATTCGTAAGTCGAAATATTTCTTCTCCTTTATCTTTTGCTCTGATTTCTAACAGTTCTAAAAAATTACCTTTATTCATAGATGAAATTGATTGGTCATTTCCTCTTAATGGTAAACACTGCTTCCCGAGAAATAAAATATTTTCAATTATAAGCTTTAGGTACTTTTTATTTCCTTCAATCTGCTTTGAATGAATAGATAAATTATCATTGACTGCTTCATCAGAAAACTGGTGTTCCCTCCAAAACTGCAATGACTTCAAATGCATTTTACTTTTTTCATGCTTCCTGAATTTTTCTAGAGTCTTTTTCCAATTAGAAATTCCTTGGCCTGCAAATGATTCTCCTCCACAACTAAAATTTTTTTGGCAGAACAACTGGCATGAATAACAGAATGCCACATCCTTCTTAATACTGTTTTTCAAATGTTGGAGATTTGAACACCAAGATTTTTTAATACTTCGTGATTTATCTTTAACTTTTTGTACTTTGGATTTAATCTTTGGGTGACATAGTCCATCACTTATTTTCATAGATTTCATATTGTATGTAGCATCTTGGTTTGACACTTGATCTCTTTGTACTTCTACACTGGAGTCAACTGTATGCTGACTGGGTACTGATGAAGATGGTGAAAGCCTTGGCTGTTCAACACTATTATTAGCAACACCATTACTTGATTCACTGGGCAAACTCTTAGAAATGTTTGGGAGAAAAAGAAAAAAAAACATTTGTTCGAACAGTTTTCAAATGATTAATATATCAAACATATCTATTCTAATAACACAATAAAATGAATGGGCGAGTTGCAATATGAGCTCCACTAGGGGGAAACATTAACAATTATTTATAATATAATGTTGCAATCTAGACTCAGCATTAAATGTTCAAAGAATCTTTTGGTATGTAATTGTAATAAAAATAATTTTTATTGCTCATGTGACCTAGAATATTGAAAAAGGTAATAAAGAACCCAGAGGAAAAACTATGACTAATACTACTTGTTTAAATATTCTTATTAATAGTTTCAAGTCAAACCTGGGATTCGGGAAATTGAATATGAATACCAAAAGATGTTTCTTGTTCAACTTTTTTGAGACTTAAGATGAAAATAGGAATGAATATGCATATATATATATATATGTTTACATATATACATGTACAAAATATGCTTAAAAAAGACAGGGTCGAAAATATTAAGAACAAAACTTACATCTACAATGACTTTTGCTGTTACTGAAGAAACTGTATCTGGTAAAATAAAAGAGTATCATCAATTTAAGATCTTATACTATAATCTATAAAACAGCATCACAAACTACAATTGCTTATTTCATATCAGACAACAAAAACAACCTAAGAACATAGATTCATCAAGGAAGTGAAGACAGTGTATATATCAAGTATCATTTTATATCAATTTTACCTTGTAAGACATCAGAGTTCATGATGGGCAGGGAAACATGAGTATCTGCCAATGACACTATATTGCTTATAACTGGAGTTGTATCTTTCTTTGGAGCTAAGAGCTCTGTTGAGGCATCCTGTACCACAGAAACATTTACTGAAAAAAATTAAAAGATTTCTCAACAACCAGGAGAATCAATCAGAAAGCACTGTTTAATAACCAGTGTTTCAACAAACAATGCAAATATCCAATAGCTTTAGGTATTGCTGGATATTGGAGTAGGGCTTATAGCCAGGTTCTTTAGCATAACACATTAGTACCCTGAAACTGATAATTTACATTTTCCATTTTTTAATATATTTGACCTTTGCATACAAATTCTCAGTCCCTTTATGTCATTTGCATGAAATTTCAAGCAAATCTTTACATGAAATTACCCATGAAGAACAGAAAAGAGATTCCTTCAGAATCTCCTAATGGATATCAGATCTTTCATTTTTTAAACACATTATTTTATTTTTTTAAAGTAATTTCTAGGGGATCCCCGGGTGGCTCAGCGGTTTGGCGCCTGCCTTCTGCCCAGGGCGTGGTCCTGGGGTCCTGGGATCGAGTCCCGCATCGGGCTCCTTGCATGAAGCCTGCTTCTCCTGCTGCCTGTGTCTCTGCCTCTCTCTCTCTGTGTCTCTCATGAATAAATAAATAAAATCTTTAAAAAAAAAATTTCTACACTCAATGTGGGGTTCTAACTCATAACCCCAAGATTAAGAGTCACTCGCTCTACTGACTGAGCCGGCCAAGCACCCCTAATGGGTCTCATTTCTAACTCTTTCAAGATTCATAACCCTCGGGATCCCTGGGTGGCACAGCGGTTTGGCGCCTGCCTTTGGCCCAGGGTGCGATCCTGGAGACCCGGGATCGAATCCCACATCGGGCTCCTGGTGCATGGAGCCTGCTTCTCCCTCTGCCTGTGTCTCTGCCTCTCTCTCTCACTGTGTGCCTATCATAAATAAAAAAAAAAATAAAAAAAAAAAAAGATTCATAACCCTCAACATGACTGGAGTTAGAATGGTGTCTAAGCTAGTATTGCAGAGATTTCTAGAATAAACCAGTTTACATGAAGTACAAGCCTCAGGGGTATCATTTTCTTTATTATCTATGTAAAATAGCACTAATGGTCCTATATGAGGCTCTTTGATAGAATACAAAGTTGGCCCTGGGTTACTTGTGCTTTTCTATTAGTGAACTTTCAAGTATTTGCAACTAACTCCACTTCCTATAAAAAAACATAACTGATACCCTTATTTAGCAGGGCTAAGTATAAAATTCTATATTGTAATATGATGATCTTTACAAATAAATATTAAGTCTTTGGTTGTGAAGTAGGCTTCCTTTTACATAAAACTACTGGAAAACATTTTTTTCCTTTTAAATGTAGGCTCCATGCCCAATGTGGGGCTTGAATTCAGGACCCTGAGAGCAAGAGTCACGTGCTCTACCGACTGAGCCAGCCAGGTGCACCTGGAAAACATTTTTTTTGCAACGAGTTTTATACTGTTTTGACTTGTCAGTTTAATGTTGAGATAAATCAAGGTGATAAATTAAAGGAAATTAGTAACATTCAACAGTTTCTAAATCTCTGATAACTTCTAAGCAAACATTACCTGTTGATGATTCCATCTTAGCTTTATTGTAAGCAGAGAAACAATTAATAGAACAGAAGAGGTCTGTCTTCCCAAAGTCATTGGTGGTCTCAATCATTTCATCTGAGGGCTTCAATGATTTGCAAAGAACAGATGTAAGTGTTTGGGTTGGTTTCTGTTTAAAGATTAAAGTTATATTCATATTCCTGGTGTATGACATATTATCAACAAACAAAAATACACCCATTATTGCTCCTCTTAGCTAAAATATAACAAGTAATGATAATGAAGTCACATTTTTACACTTTCTTAAAAACCGGAAAAAAATAACAAGCACTGAATGTTAATGATGCAACTGATGAACCACTAAAGTCTACCTTGAAACTAATAATACAAAATATGCTAACTAACTTGAATTAAAAACAAACAAAAAAGAGGAAAAAAAGGCACTACAGATTAGAGTGACTAAAATGAAACAGATCATTCCAATATTTGTGTTATTTATCAGATATACATTAGTAGCAGCAGTATTATTAGATACATATTAGAAAGCAGTATGCTTTCTTCATATGCAAGCAATGAAGAAAGAGGTCATAGAATATGTTTATTACTCCAGGCAATCAACTCTGATTGGATAAATACACAAAAGTCTTACAATTATATCTCTTTCTTCAATTCCACTTTAAAAAGAAAAAGAAAAAAAAAGATTTTATTTATTTACTTGACTGAGAAAGAGAGCACAAGCAGGGGGAGAAGGAGAAGCAGGCTCCCTGCTTGATGTGGGGCTCCTGGGATCATGAACTGAGCTGAAGGCAGATGCTGAACTGACTGAGCCACCCAGGTGCCCCACTCAATTCCACTTTGAATTAATACTGAGTTAATACTCAGTTAATACTCAGGAAAGCAGAGGAGCCAGAGAACAGCTGTGGGAATCATTGCTTTTCTAGTCTAACTTCATGGTAAACACTGAAAGCATATTGTGAGAAAGTAGCACAGAAGCAGTAAGATATACAGAATATAGTACATTCAGTAAGCAGTAAGTGTGTAAAGGACATGAACTGTGTGGTTCCCCATCTATTGTTTCTACTGTAACAGGAACCATCATTCTTGGGCTTAGAGCAATGGTGAAAAAGAACTGCTTTTGGGGGCATAAAATACAAGGACAAATGAAAATACCATATGCAGATTTTCTTCCATGAAAAACAGGATATCGGCAAAGGAACAATGAAACAAAAAACAGTATAAGTTTGAAAATTCTTTTATCCTTTATTAGTATGACTTTTTTATTTTTAGAAGAGCTATTTTAACATTATTTAGGGGATCTCTGGATAGCTCAGCGGTTTGGCGCCTGCCTTGGGCCCAGGGCATGATCCTGGAGACCTGGGATCGAGTCCCACGTCAGGCTCCCTGCATGGAGCCTGCTTCTCCCTCTGCCTGTGTCTCTGCATATCTCTCTCTTTCTGTGTGTGTCTCATGAATAAATAAAATCTTAAAAAAAAATTATTTAGCCCAATATTTAACATTAAGTAACAATAGTGGTATTATTTATAGTTAATTTATTATTCATCTGGGAAAGATAACAATAATTAATTTATTCTATTAAGATGTGAAGGGGGCAGCCTGGGTGGCTCAGGGGCTTAGCGCCGCCTTTAGCCCAGGACGTGATCCTGGAGACCCGGGACTGAGTCCCACATCAGGCTCCCTGCATGGAGCCTGCTTCTCCCCCCTCTGCCTGTGTCTCTGCCTCTCTCTCCTGTGTATTGTCATGAATAAATAAATAAAATATTAAAAAGAAAAAAGATGTGGAGGGAAAAAAGATGTGGTCAAAGTAAGTAAAATTCTATCAAGCAATCTACTTTAGGGTGCCTGGGTGGCGTAGTAGGTTAAGTATCTGCCTTTGGCTCAGATCATGATCCCCAGGTCCTAGGATTCAGTCCCCCTGCTCGTGCTCTCTCTAATAAATAAAATTAAAAAAAAAAAATAACTATTAAAAAAAACCCCAGTCCATTAGAAGAATTTTTTTTTTTTTTTTTTTTTAATGATAGTCACACACACACAGAGAGAGGCAGAGGCATAGGCAGAGGGAGAAGCAGGCTCTATGCACCGGGAGCCCGACGTGGGATTCGATCCCGGGTCTCCAGGATAGCGCCCCGGGCCAAAGGCAGGTGCCAAACCTCTGTGCCACCCAGGGATCCCTAGAAGAAATTTTTTAAAAGATTTATTTATTGGGGGGAGGGTAGGGAAGGAGAGTCTTAAAGCAGACTCTGCAATGACTGTGCAGCTGGACATGGGGCTCGATCCCACGACCCTGAGATCACGACCTGAGCTGAATCTAAGAGTCAGACACTTAACTGTGTCAGCCAAGCGCCCCTCAAACAATCTAGTTTTGTGTTTTTTAAAAAATATTTTATTTATTTATTCACGAGAGACACACAGAGAGAAGCAGAGACACTGGCAGAGGGAGAAGCAGGCTCCATGCAGGGAGCCCAATGTGGGACTCGATCCCGGGTCTCCGGGATCACACCCTGGGCTGAAGGCAGATGCTCAACCATTGAGCCACCCAGGGATCCCACAATCTACCTTTGGAAATAAAAAGTCACCCTATTTTTAGACTCATAGATTTGAACATTTTTCTAATTCTTATTACAGTTAACTAACAATATTAATTTTTCTCCATTATCACTATCATAGTAACTCATATGCAGGATATAGTGTTAAATGGTGCTTTTTAAACTCTTTTACCCAATCAGATAGGCTAAGTATGTGGTACTCACAATAGGCTCTTAAAAACAGGCCAAGGTGTATTCACTGAGTGTGAGGGATGAAGAAGGAAAAGACTGAACGGCATTTCTTGCCTTCAGAAGGCTCCCATGCCTCCCATTTTCCCACTTCTGTGCCCAAGGTCATCACATGAGCACTCTGCCACAGGGAAGATGTGGCTCACAAATGACTTAGTTGAATTCACACTTGCGGAGAATCCTATCTTGAATTGCGTGTTTTTAAGGAAGAATTTATGGAGATAGAACTGGGTCTCAAAGCATCATCCGAACAAGCAAGACAATAATCCTACCTCATGAAAGGGGCTCAGACCACTAATTGCGTTAATCTCATGTAGTCCACCAAAGCAGGATAGCTTCTCTGCTCTCAGAACCACCTACCCACGGCTCTTCTACCAGAAAGGGGATTATTTCTCATTCAGAAAAGCCTGTGACATTCTTAATTCATTTTAACATTGCTTAGGTGTAAGAAAACAGAATTAAAAACACCTTTGTGGTTGAGTTATACGATAGGTAGGCTATTGTTACTTCTGCTATCTTTATTTGCAGTTTATTTATTTTTTTTTAAAGATTTCATTTATCCATTCATGAGAGACAGGGGGGGAGAGAGAGGCAGAGACACAGGCAGAGGGAGAAGCAGGCTCCATGTAGGGAGCCCGATGTGGGACTCGATCCTGGGTCTCCAGGATCATGCCCTGGGCTGAAGGTGGCGCTACACTGCTGAGGCCTATTTATTTGCAGTTTATAAACAAGCTTCCATTTGCTTGGTTTTCTTCAAGGCAAGATCATCCTGAGAGTCTTTAGGAGAATCTCCATACAGCATTTATCATGACTTGTTATGTAAGAGGAACTGTCAGAAGTCTTATTTCATCTTCTTCACTGTCTTATCAACTGAAACTATTCCCAATGGTCCTAAAATCTTATCCCCACATTTTCTGAAAGTGGAACCATCCACAACTAAACTAATGGAGGGAACTCAATCTTGGATATTTTGAGTCCACGTAGTCAAATTCAAATGAAGTTGTCCTTACTTTATGCAACAGGTCTTTATTCGTACCCACTTATGTGCTGTAATACTCTGAACTATTTTTTTCAGTATTTTATTTATTTATTTGAGAGAGAGCGAGCGAGTGAGCATGAGCGTGTGGCGGGCAGGCAGAGGGAGAGGGACATGTGGGGCTCATGACCTGAGCCAAAATCAAGAGTTAGATGCTTAACCAACTGAACCACCTCACCTGGGTACCCTCTCTCTGAGCTATTAAAGTAATAGACTGTCCTTTCATCTGAAGCATTCGAAACAAACTAGTGTAACAATAAGTAAGCCCCACAGTTCTCAAGATAGACTTCATGATGAGGTTGTTGGAGTGAAAGTGAAAAACAGGCATTACTACAGTGTTTCACATTCTGGTATTTTACTTTATACTGAATCTAGGATTTAAAAAAAGTCAGTAAAGGGGAGCCTGGGTGGCTTAGTGAGTTAAACATCTGCCTTTGGCCAGGGACACGATCCTAATGTCCTGGGGTCCATCTCTGCATCAGGCTCCCTGCTCAGTGGGGAGTCTGCTTCTCCCTCTCCCTTCGCCTGTTGCTCCCACTGCTTGGGCTCTCTCTTTCTGCCAAATAAATAAATAAAATCTTGGAAAAAATTTTTTTAATTCAGTAAAAACTCTAATATTTAAACAAAATAATCAGAATCCCTAAAAATTAGGGTGCCTGGGTGACTTGGTTGGCTAAGCGTCTGCCTCTGGCTCAGGTCATAATTCCAGAGTCATAAAACTGAGTCCTGCATTGGGCTTCCTGCTAAGCGGGGAGTCTGCTTCTCCCTCTGCCCTCCCCCCTGCTCATGCTCTCTCTCAATAAACCAAATATATAAATATCTTAAAAATAAAATTCTTAAAAGTTAGATTTTCAACTTACAACAGTAGTCTTCTGACACATGCTGCACTTGGTTAAAATGCTATTAGTACATATGGTAACAAACACTTTTCTTTTTTCTTCATATGATGAAAGACAAGATTGGCTGCAAAAATTTTTGCTAGAGGTATCTTCTAGCTGGACACTGATCACATCCTTTAGATTTAAGAGGTCTCTAAAAAGAAAAACAAGGGCACCATTAAACACTTTTAGAAGTTAAAGCACTCCTTCAAGTAACCCTCTCCCATTTCACCTACCTTTAGATTATGCAACAGCAAAAAAAAAAAAAAAAAAAAGATTATGCAACAGCAGTGACATCAGCCTTGAAATAACAAAACCTGAATTTGGTATTTAGTTCTAGAATTTATACTACATAATGTTGGGTAAGTCATTTATACTCCCAAATGCTGATTCCGTTATCTATAAAGTAGGGATTACAAAACACATCTGATAGCACAGTTTTGAGGATTACCTAGTTGCATTAGTTAGTGCTAGTGGTAATAGAATGTTGATGAGCAATCACATATTCATACCTGACCAACTCTGTAATCTACAAGACAGAGGATACCAAACTATGGTCTGTAAAACTCTAGGGATCCTCCGAATACTTTTAGAGGGGTCCACTAAAACAAAACTATTTTCATATTAAAATATTATCTGCCCAAAAAAGTGTCATTTGTCTTTTTCACTATGTTAACATTGGAACTGATGATGCAAAATCAACAATGGGCCATTGCAATTCCACTCCTCGTACTGAAAAAAGTATGAAGACACACATGTTCCTAACAGCTCTATTTCAAATAGCTAAAAGATAAGGGCACTGGGCTGGCTCAGTTGGTAGAACACATAACTCTTGATCTCAGGACTGTGAGTTCAAGGCCCACACTGGGCCTGGAACTTACTTCAAAAAGAAAAAAAAAAAAAAAAAAAAGCCAAAAGATGGAAATAGTCCAAATGTTTACCAATGAATGAATGGATAAACAAATTGTGATATATCCATACAATGGAATATTACTCAGCTATAAAAAAAGATGAAGTACTGCTATACATGCTACAACATGTATAAGCCTGGGATAAACCTTGAAAGCATTATGCTAAAAAGATGGACACAAATGGTTGTATGTTGTAGAATTCCATAATTATAAAATATGCTGAATAGATAAATCCAGATAGACTACAGATTGGTGGTTGCCAGAGGCTAAAGAGAATTTTCTCTGGGGAGAAAACGTATCCTTAATGGATACGTTGGAGAAATGTTTTGGAATTAGACACTGTTGAGTGTACTAAATACTGCTGAAATGGCTTTTTATGTGGATTTCACCTCAATAAATTGGGAGGGGAAAAAAAAAAAACAATACTGGGTAAAATGCCAGGGCCTTATTAGCACAAACTAATGCAGCTGCACCAAAATGTCCTGGTATCAGCTATTCATTGCCATACATTTGCTGTAAAAATCATTTACTTATTAAGCTTTATCCTCGAAAACTTCTTTTTCATATTCCGTGTGATGATATGGGACAGAGGCACAAAGTATTTCTCCTGCACATCAAACTATGATGGTTGTCTCAAGGAAAATCTCACGTGAGAATGTTGAGCTACAACCTGAGGTAGTACTATTTTCATGGAACATATTTTTACTTGAAAGAACATACCATTATCCAGAGTGGATATCTGGCAAATATTTTCTCAAAAAAGAATAAAGTAAGACTGTTACTTCAAGATAAAGAGCTGACAGTATTCATTGCCAATGATAAAATTCAAGCTTTCATTGAAAATTAGAATTTTGGAAAATTTGCCATCTCCAACTTGATTGTGTCCCAATAGCTAAGATTTCCTGATGAGATTAGTGTTTTGTTTTTTGAACAAATGTGATTGTTAAAATATTGCATAAAGAAATATGCCAACATTTGGAAGATCTAAATAATTCAGTGAAGTAGTATTTTCCAAATTATGATAGCATGTAACAAAAAAGCATTCATTCACGTGTTAAAAAAAAAAACCCAAAGTACAAACAGATCAATGTATTTTAACCTAACAGTACAAAGAATTCATTGATATGGTTTCAGATTTCACATTGTAACTAACCTTTAAGAAGTACAACCTGTTTTCTTCTAGAGTATCAAAGAAGAGCATCCACAAAATCTAAAAGACTATTAAAACATACCTCCCTTTTCCAATTACTGATTGTTAGGACCAGATTTTTTTCACACTTTGGCCAAAACATTTACCAATTAATTGAACACAGAGGCAGATATGAAAACCCAGCCAGACATCGAAGCGGTTTGCAAAACTGATAAAATGATGTTCACTCAATTTTTCTTAAAATTCTTTTCACTAAAGACTACTTTTCATTAAAAATATTATTTATGTCCGCATTCACTGAGTTATTTTTAAAGGAATTAATAATTAGTTTAAAAATTTCTCAGTTTTAGAGGCACCTGGGTGACTCAGTCGGTTAAGTGTCTGCCTTCAGCTCAGGTGGTGAGCCCAGGGTCATGGGCTCCCTCCTCTACAGGGAGCCTGCCTCTTTCCTCTGCCTCCCCTCTCTCATGAATAAATAAAATCTTAAAAATTTCTCAGTTTTAATCTCTAACACTGTATATATTGGCAGATATAACCTACATAAAGTAAAGCTTCTGGCTTTTCAAAAAATTTTAAGAGTGTAAAGGGTTCCAGAAACCAGAATGTGTGAGAACTGCCAATGATGTCTGGCTACTTAGAAACCTCAGAACATCAATCTTTCAGGATAATAGTTTTCTAGATGAAATACTCCTGAAATCAACACTATTTTAACACTTTAACACTTACAAATTTTCCTCCTGAAATAGACTACCAAAAATAACAGGTTCATTTCATTACTATGAATCAGTCATTTTACTGGTTTAAAATATAGCTCTAAATGCAGTATCTGAGTTGTACTATCCTTGTATTTTATTTGACAAAATTTTTTTCTCGGATTCACTGTGTGCCAGCTAGTGTAAAGGCATTGGGAATATAAAGATGAGCGTGATCTGGTTCCTAATCTCAAGAGATTCATAGTTTAACTGGGGCAGTATCAATTCTTTCTTTAAAATTTTTTTATTAATGCTGTGGGAATTATGAACACTATTAAAACACAGACCATGGAACAATTATTCTGAATGGGTGGGGGTTAGTGAGAAGAGAGGAAAAAATCGTGTGGGAACACACAAGAGGTAAGGATATTTGAGGCAGACCTTTGTGACAGAAATAAATTAGCCAGATGGAAAGGGAGGCAGAAGAAACTGCATCGGCAGAAGCATGGAAGTCTGAAAATGCTTACTGATTTACTGCTACCAGTATACTAGATTCCTGGTTTCTAGTCTACTAAGTCCTTATAAATAAGAAACTAAAAAATGAATTTTCTTAAAAGTGCCTAAAATTAGCTTAAACAAATTCCAAGCACAGGACTGAACAACTTTCTTATTTATATGTGCTATACAGCATTAATGCACAGGGATATTCTGCACTCTGTTGATTGCTTTCAGAATCTCTGGTTGGTTTCAAATTGGGATACTACAGTGCAGAAATGACATTTCTTAAACACACTGCTCTCAAAAGAAGTCTTATCTAACATGATTTAAAATGTTATTTTCAAAGCCACTTTTTATTTGGTTCATGAAACAAAAACTGCATTAACTCAAAACAGATTTTTAAATCATTGCTATAAAAGAAACCTCAATAGTAACTGATAATTAGCTAAAATCGTGAGAACTGTAGATTAATACCAGAGGCTAATGAGGAAGAAAAAAAACTTTGAGAAAAGCAGAGGTTACTCTGAACAATGGACAGCCTCTTCCAGGCTATGTATGCATTACTATCACCTTTCCACCAACCTATACAATAGTATTTTGTATTAAAAAATATTTGAAAGGAAGTAATTTTGGAAAAATGTTCCAAAGGAAGTAAAACTTGTTTCATATTTTTGCTCATATTGGATTTCTTCATCTTAGAGAACAACTTACACTATATCTTTCCTGTTTCAGCCTTTTCAATCTGTCTGGGAGATCTGCTGAAGATGTATAATAGGTAAATTCCAAACATAGTAACATGGTACCTTAACTTCTCAGGACCTCAGTTTCCTCAAAACCAAAAGAAAATGTTTTGACTGGATGATTTCTAAGGCCCCTTCCAGTTTTATGATTCTGCAGAGAAAGAAAGCAGACTGAAGAGAGTGCCTTACAGCCCTTAGCAAAAAGGAAAAAAGACATAGTATTGAAGAGTTGAAAAAAAACAAAGATAAAGGTGAGTTTCAGGGAGTAAGACTTGAAGCAGCGGATAACACCCGAAGCAGCGGCCAAATGAGGAGTTGAAGCAACCAATAAAAAGGGTTTGTGAATTTGTTACGAGAATAATAATGGTGATAATTAACATTTATTGAGGTCTTATTACATGCCAGTATTGCTCTGATGGCTTAAATCTATTATTTAATGCTCATAATTCTTATGTACATTTAACAAAACAGATAGGAATACTAAGAAAGAAGTTCTCACTGTTTTTCATACTTTAGCATATTATGTATTATCTGGGGACAAATGCAATTCTGATTCCAGTAGATCTGGGTGAGACCTGAGACTCTGTATTTTTATTTAACAAGCTCCCAGATGATATTGATACAGCTGCTATGAGTTGTAAAATATAACTATAAATGGAGGAAGCAAGATTCAAATTATGGCAATCTGATTCTAAAATAAGACACTTGAAAGGTATTTACTGTATTTACAAGCAAAATTGGTGGCCTGTGTGTTTCCTCTGTTCTGAAACAAAAACATTTAAAATTTAGCAATAGCATTTAATGAGAACTAATAAACCAGAATTATAGTATGATAGGAGTTTCAAAGCACATTGATTCTTTACATCTCAAGGTAGAGTTCAAAGTTTTGGACATTTTCCACTAATTCACTATGAAATTACCTCTACTTCCTCTCTCTGCATCTAAATTGCCTTACATACATTAAAAAAAAAAAAAAAAAAAGGTAGCAATACAAACCCCAACAGCAGCTCACTGAAATCTTGAAAAGATTACATGCAACCATGTTTACCTAGGACTACTCAAATTTGCAAAAGTATTTAATAAATTCATTTACCATTACAACAGAAACATTACTTTATAATGTTATACCTTGGTTATTTTATACCTTGAATGATCCAAATTGACTACTATTATATGATTAATGTGTTAGTGATTTGCAGCCTATACAGTTAAATGATAGAATAGACATATAATAATCCCACTTACAGAGAATTTCTAATGAAAACAGTAGGAAAGTAAGTTTCAGAAATCACATTATTTAAAGCTGAAGAGAAACAGAACTCCTTATGTTTTAAATTCTGCAAATCTCTCAACAGAAAAACTATTTCTGAAGAATCTAATTGAGGAACTGAAAGCGGAAGCGGCTTTTCACTAAACCAAGGTGATGTTTCTTTAGAAAAAATGAAAATGTAGACAGTTACAACCAAGACTCTGATCAAGATCTATGTAGGGAAGTAAAAGGGGGCATAATTTAGAATTATATACTTTGAGCAGTTTGAACAAGTTCTCTTGGGAAGAGCTGGTGAATTGGCAGATGAAATGTACTCATTGATGCACAGCGTGGAGCAGAAAAGCTGAGTAGACCCTTTCCTCTGATAGGCAGTTTGCCCCTTCTGAAGGATTTTTTTACAACCAGAACAGGAGACCTGAACAGCTGTGGTTGAAACTGAAGGAAGCATTTTATTCATGCCAGATGACGTAAGAGAAAGCTGAAAGCCTGCAGTCAACTGTGGAGCTATAAACACAAAACAGGAAGAAAGAAAATTAGTATTTACATAAAATTAAGTATGCATTCTTTCATTTTCTTTTAGAGGTTACTTCTACTGGACCTGAAACCCAAAACAAACAATGCACTTTTCAAAGACATTTTTTTTTTAATTTTTATTTATTTATGATAGAGAGAGAGAGAGAGAGAGAGAGAGAGAGAGAGAGAGGCAGAGACATAAGCAGAGGGAGAAGCAGGCTCCATGCACCGGGAGACCGACGTGGGACTCGATCCCGGGTCTCCAGGATTGCGCCCTGGGCCAAAGGCAGGCGCTAAACCTCTGCGCCACCCAGGGATCCCTTCAAAGACATTCTAAAAAAGTAGAATAAACTGGCTAATATGTTGGTTAGGATAAATATGATTTAAGTAATTCTATTACCACTCTCTGAAAAGGTAGTGTTTATTTTCAGTTCATTCTCCTGAGTTTTGGGCTGCTGGGCTTGACAGTACTCCTAAAACAAGAAATGAAAATAATGAATACAATGTGTATAAAACAGCTAGTTATTCAACAGAAAATAATAAATTATGTTTAAGTCTTTGCAGTGAATTGTGTAACTGAACTGAACCATAGGTGAACACTTCGTTTCTGGTGACCTTTGGCTGACAACACTGATCAATTACTACATTATATTCCATCATACCTGGACATGACTTCAGTAATCTTTGTTCACACAGTCCTTCGGTAGCTACCACACAAAGAGCAGACACACTCAATGACATCTATTTTCCCTTCTTGTTCTAATTAGTACTAGCTAATTGTCTTTGTAAAGACCTTAAACACAAAAGTTTTTGGATTGAGCTAAGAGTCTTACGGAGGATTCTTCAGAGCAGCAGGCAATCTATCTATACATGATCTATATTTGGATGTCCACAACATCCACAGTGTTTGAATGTTCACAGACTGAAGAAGCAACAAACACTTCCTAGATGGACAATATTCCCCAGAATCACCAACTCAGTGGGAGTCATATCCCTACTTAACACTGATTTACTTTAGGCTATTTCTAAACAGAGTACTAGAAATAAATTAAAACTGAATTCACTTTTTGTTTCATTAGAAATTTCAGCTGGCTCATATATAAACAGTCTAAAGAAATTTGGCACTACTCACAAAACATTCACGGATTGAGTCAGTTTATTATTTATAGGTTCTTTAGGACATAATATGTGTGAAAAATTTTAAGAATAAACATGAAACTAATTTGGGTAAAATAATTACAAAGAAAAAATTCTAATAATTTATAATGTATTAAGGCTACGACTTTAAAAGTCAGTAGCATAAAAACATACAATTAGTTAGTCATACTGTTTTAAGTTAAGAAAAATGAAAACAAAAATGTGTTAACCTTAGCTAGACCCATGATTTCCTAAGCAATCCTTTTATCAATCCAAAACCCAATGCCGGGAGGCCTGGGTGGCTCAGCGGTTGAGTGCCTGCCTTTGGCTCAGGGCGTGATCCCAGATTCCTGGGTTCAAGTCCCACGTCGGGCTCCTTGCATGGGGTTTGCTTCTTCCTCTGCCTGTGTCTCTGCCTCTCTGTGTCTCTCATGAATAAATATTAAAAAAACAAAACAAAACAAAAAAACCCCCAAGACAAAAAACAACAAAACCCCATGCCAAACATCCATTCTTTTCTCAAATCATTTTCTTATATAGAGTTGTGATGGCATTTCACACCATATACCTTATATTATGTGACCAACTGCTTCGGGGAAGATAAAGATTTAAGGTTTTCAACCAGTAAACTAGCATCTTGCATAACTGAAATGTACAATTAAATGCTGTTCTAGAAAAAAGAAAATAGAATATTTACCTGAGCGCTGTCAGGTTCAGTCTTAATTTCATCTACCCGCCCCATTTGTGGTGCCACTGCTTTGTCACATTCACCATCTATTGGCGATTCTTTCATCTTAGTATCTGATGCAAAGGAATCCTCCAGTTCCAAACTAATGAAACTATTCTTTGGGGAATAGTGTCCAGGTTCCTAAAACAAAATAAGAATTGAAAGAGAGTCTGATTTTAACATTAGTTCTTTTAAATATGGTAATTTTCTGGAAGCACAACAGGTCTTCAGACAGCTTGGACTCAAGGTTCCTTCACAGTACCAACACTGGCTTTCTTCCCTTCATCACTATTCCCCAACATAGTTTTGCTTTGTAATTCTCTGGTGGACATATTTCTCGCTTTCTTCTGGGACTAATCTTCTTCACTTCTATTCCCCCAGGCCTGCCTATAGCATAAACTCATTAACCCACAAGTTTACTTTTAAATTATTAGTCTTAGAAAACATAAAGTCTTCTATCTAAGGTTAATCCAAATAGCTGTAGTCACTACCTCTCCCCCGCCACTGTCCTCCTATAGAGCCAGTTATTATCTTCATCTCCCTCAACTCCTCTTTCCATCCTTACTGGTTCTTCACATATAAACATTCAAATACACTCAAGGGTCCAACTTTTAAAGCTAGTGGCCTCTCTCTGACCACTCCTGTCCCTCATCCTTGAGACTCTCCACTTCCTTGAATCCTATGACTCCAAAACATATTCCTCCTCCTACCTCTTTGCCAGTTTTCTTCTCAAACATTTATTTCACCTGCTTCTAAATTATTTGTGTTCCAGGGATGCCTGGGCGGGTCAGTCAGTTAGGGGTCTGCTTTCAGCTCAGGTCATGATCCTGGGATCCTGGGATTAAGACCCAAGTCAAGCTCCCTGCTTAGCGAGGAGTCTGCCTCTCCCTCTCCCCACCCCTCACTCATGCTCTCTCGTGCATGCTCTCAAATAAAGTCTTAAAACAATTTTTTTTGTGTGTTCCTTCAATTCCACAGGACTCTTTCTCATTTGCTCTGTGGGCACAACCTTGGATTCAATTATCATTTTTAGGCTGATTTCCCCTTACATTTCTGAGCTCCAGCCCATATATCTAATGGCCTACTAAATATCTCCACTTAGATGCTCCACAGGTCCCTCAAATTCAAGAGATTTAAAACTATATTCTTATAGTATTCCTGTAAACCTGCTTTACACATGTTCCCTTTTTTGATAAAATGGCTCTATCCCCAATTTCCCATGCCAGAAATCTAGGGGTAGTCCTAAATTCCTCTTCTCCCAAAGTCCCCACATTTAATCACCAAAGTGGATCAAATATACCTTCTAAATAGATTTTGAATCTATTTTCCTTTTTTTTTTTTTTTAAGATTTATTTATTCATTCAGAGAGAGCGGAGAGAGAGGCAGAGACACAGGCAGAGGGAGAAGCAGGCTCCATGCAGGAAGCCCGATGTGGGACTCGATCCTAGGTCTCCAGGATCACACCGGGGGCTGCAGGCGGCGCTAAACCGCTGCGCCACCGGGGCTGCCCTGAATCTATTTTCCAATTACACCTCATGCCTGTCTCCTACTCTCTACCTCCATGAATGGATTCCTTTTTGGGAACTATAAAAGATAAAGTCCCAAATCAAAATATAAAAGATTGTTGCACATTCAGGCTTAAAATATAACCCCATTTTATGTCTTTTGAGGAATCACAAGTGCCTTTTGATTGCTCAGCCTCAAGGTCTCTTTTTCCAGGACAAACTGGTTCCTTCTATCTTCTTTTCTCTCATCTTTGGTCTTTCCCCCACTTTTCTGGTAGCTTTAATTCAAAGTCCCTATCCCAGAGCAGAAAATTAAATGAATAAGACCTGACTGTGAAGTGCAGTAAAAGCTCAGACGGCTTCTGTGCAGCCTACTTAAGCACTCCAAATAACCAGAGCAAAGCAAAACTCACGGAAAATTTACTAGACTGTCATTCACTCAAAAGAAAATATGCAAGTCTAAAAATCAATTAAAAACAACGCATCTTAAAGAAAAAAAACAAAAACCCACAGCGCATCTATGAGCTTTTGCATCTTGGAATCCCTTCAAATGTGTCAGTCATCACACAAATAGGCAAATAATGGAAAGCACCCTCAAAGTGTAATTAATTAATCTAAATTAGGTCTCTGAAGCAAGGAAGAACAGTATGTAACATTTCTTCAGCTATTAGAAAAACCAAAAGAGCAAAAAACATATGAATAACAAATCTAGTACTTCCTTTTCCAACAAGATGCACATTAAAAACCCTAAAAGATTTTATTTTTGGGGTGCCTGGCTTGCTCAGAGGAATAAGAGACTCTTGATCTCCAGGTGGTGAGTTTGAATTCCACACTGGGTGTAGAGATTACTTAAATGAATAAACTTAAAAAAATTTTTTAAAAAAAGATTTTTGTAAAAATCTACACCCAATGTGGGGCTCGAACTAATGACCCTGAGATCAAGAGTTGCCATGCTCCTCTGACTGAGCCACCAAGACACAATGAAACCTCTTTTTTAATATAGTCTTTCACCTATCTTTCCCAACTAGGGCTAACCCATGTATGTCGGATAGTATTAATGTGGCACAGGTTCCTACTGGTTAATACTACTAGGTAATAACCAATCAAAATATTTTAATTTAAACCAAAGAGGGATAACATGGAGCAGAGAATAAAATTCACATTAATTTAAAAAATGTTTTTTATTTATTTACTTGACAGTGAAAGAGAGAGAGAGAGAGCGTGCGTGCGCGCGCAGAGGCAGAGGGAGAAGCAGACTCCCCACTGAGCTGGGAGCCCAACTCAGGCTCGATCCCAGGATCCTGATTATCACCACCTGAGCCAAAGGCAGTCGCTTAACCGACCAAGTCACCAAGGCGCCCCTCAAAATTCACAATTTTTAAAGTAAAACTTGAGACTGCAAAGAAATTACAAGCTATCAGGAATTATTTCCAGACACACAAACAGATATCCAGAGAGAATGTATGTAGCTTTCCTCCTGGAAAATTAGTACAATATCGATGCTTCAAGTTGCTTCGCCCTTAATCTTTTAATTCTTCCCCACTATAACTGTGCTTATACTGCTCTACCTGTAGTCATTTTTGCTTATTCAAACCCTATTCAGCTTCTAAACCAACTCTGTTCCAAATTTTATCCGATTGGCAAGAATTAAAAATAAGACTGATAAATCTAGGGGTGCCTTACTCAGTTGGCACAAAACTCTTGATCTTAGGGGTCATGAATTCAAGCTTCATGTTGGGTGTAGAGAATATTTAAAAAAACGAGACTGATAAATCTAGGCACAACAGATAAAATTAACAGGCTTTAATTGTGAGGACACTTTCCAGAACAGAGTAGAGGAAAACAGCAGCACATTGAGCTAAGGAGATGGGAGTTTTGGGTTGCCAAAGCAGGTGGAGCTCCTGAGGCACAAAGGAGATGTGGGAACCAAGGAGAAATAAGCCTCCCAATTTGCACACAAATACCTCCTTCTCCACTTTTTAGCTGATCTCCAAATGTACATCTATGGAGTATGACATCAAAAAATCTAGCAGAAAATAGCAGATTGAGTCTAAAGAGCTGAACAGAGATTACAGTAGCTTTGCAGAGCTAAGAACAAAGCTGAGATTTAAGCCCAGCAAAGGTAGAGGGGGCTTGGTAAAGATATGGACTTTCAGTTGGCCATGTGGTAGGAATAAGGATCATACCCCAGGAGAAAAGACCACCCCCTGGAAAAAAGGACAACCCAAAATAAATCAGCCCTAAAAAGTCCCAACAAGTCTTAATGCTAACCCCTCAACAGGATCAATGTAATCTGTTAGAACTATCTGCCTGCTTATAAGGAACTTAGCCCTCTCTGGAGGAAGTGCACCTAGAGTCTTTAAATTTTGTCATCCACAATACAATAAAAATGTATGGGTATATCCTCCCCCCCTCAAAAAAAAGCCCCAAATAAGACTGACTGAAAACCAATAAAAAGAAAAAAGACAACAGATCTTTAGTAATTCGTATTGGTATTATCAGGCTAGGACTTCGATACATTTGAGAAGAGAAAAAAGGTGAAGTTTAGCAGACCCCTGGAATAAAAAAAAAGTCATAGAAATATGAGAATTGGAAAATAGAGAAATTAAGAATAGATACATTTTATATCAATAGTAGAAAATAGTTCAGACTGATGATGCATAATAAAATAAAAATACAAATAATGTAAGCAACATGTGGAAACTGGCAAAAAGGTTAACACAGATGTAAATAGAGTTCCAGAAAGAGAAAACAGACAAGGCTACAGAAGCAGTATTTGAAGAACTACTGGCCAATTTCCTCCAAATGAAGAAAAATATCAAACCACACAATTCAAGAAGATCTAGGAGTAATAAATACAGTAAATATAAAAGAAAAAAACCCAAACCTATGCATATCAGAGTCATACTGGTGAAAACTAAAGATAAAAAAACTCTTAAAAGTAGCTTAAAAAAAAAAAAAGACATACAGGAAAACAGAAATAAGAATAAAGGCTGTTTTCTTGTCAGAAACAATGAAGGCCAGAAGCCAATGGAGGGTCTTTAAGGTAATGGGAAAAAACAAAAACAACCCCCCCCCCCCAAAAAAAAAACTACTTAAAGTATTCTCCAGTCAGTAAAAATATCCTTCAAAAATAAAGGTAAGCGATGCCTGGGTGGCTCAGCAATTGAGCATCTGCCTTTGGCCCTGGGCCCAGGATCGAGTCCCACATTGGGCTCCCCACAGGGAGCCTGCTTCTCCCTGTGCCTGTGTCTGTGTCTCTAAGCAAAATCTTTAAAATAAGAAAAAAAAAAAAGGTGAAATATTTCCTTCAGATACATGAAAATGAGAATTTATTACAAACAAATCTATACTGCAGAAATGCTAAAGAAAATTCCTTAAGTTAAAGTGAAATATTTAACGGAAATTTGGTGTAAAGATTAGAAAGGGAGAAACAAACATACTGCTTTAAAAAAAAAAAAAAGAAAATCCAAAAGGATCTCCAAGTAATTACTGCCAATTATTAAGTAAATTTAGGAAGGCCAATATTCAAAAACCATTTTTTACTTGAACAATCAAAAAAATTTTAAAACAACCATTTTCTAAAGCATCACAAAACATCAAATGCATGAATATATCTAATGAAATAGGTCAAGATCTCTACACTGAAAAACCAAACAATGCTGAGAGAAATTAAGGAAGATATAAATAAATGGAGAAATATAGCACGCTCATTGACTGACTTACTACTGTTAAGTCAGTTTTCCCCAAATTGAGCTACAGATCAAAATCCCAGTTTTTGTGAAACTTGCAAGAGGATTTAATGCATAGGGAATGTGTACAAACATAGAAAGCTAAAACAATCTCAAAAAAGAAAAAAGTAAAAAAAAAAATATATATATATATAAAGAAAAAAGTTGGAGGACTTAACTATAAAGCTATGGTAATTAATATAATGTGGTACCGTCACAAGCAAAAATAAAGTGACTCAGTCTAGAAGCAGGTATACTCTAACCTTTTACTTCTTTGCATTACAGCTACTTCTTTATATATACGCTTCTTTTTTTTAAAAGATTTTATTTATTCATGAGAGACAGAGAGAGGCAGAGACACAGGTGGAGGGAGATGCAGGCTCCCTGCGGGGAACCCGACAAAATCCGTACCTTTTGGGGTTCAGCAAACATTTCACTCGTGTATATATATATATATATATATATATATATGTTTTTTTATTTTTATTTTTATTTATATATATGTTTTTTTTTAATATATATTTTTTAATTTTTATTTATTTATGATAGTCACAGAGAGAGAGAGAGGCAGAGACACAGGCAGAGGGAGAAGCAGGCTCCATGCACCGGGAGCCTGACGTGGGATTCGATCCCGGGTCTCCAGGATCGCGCCCTGGGCCAAAGGCAGGCGCTAAACCGCTGCGCCACCCAGGGATCCCTATATATATATGTTTTAAACCTACTTTTAAAAATCAAAAAAAGGACGCTTGGGTGGTTCAGCAGTTGAGCATCTGTTTTTGGCCCAGGGTGTAATCCTGGAGTCCTGGGATCAAGCCTCGCATCCGGCTCCCTGCAGGGAGCCTGCCTGTGTCTGTCTCTCTCGCTGTGTCTCTCATGGATAAATAAAATCTTAAAAAAAATTAAAAATTAAAACAAAAATCATTAGATACAGTTAACCGTGTAATATACCAAGCGTCACCTATTTTTGGAGACTTCTGAAGCACCCACAAAATAGCCCTTCCTGCCATCTAGGGGAGTACACTTCACCACCACCCCACCCCACCCCCTAGCGGTGACACTAAGGAGGACGGTCACAGCTTCTCACCTGCTCTTTTTGGATTCCAACCTGTGTATATGCTCCGGCACAGAAAATCACGGGTTGGGGGTGGGGGACAAAAATCACTATTTCAAGCAAAGGGCAACTACTCCCCTAAACGCTCTTGCCTCATCCTATGAGCTAAACGGCAAACTGCTGGGTCCTGAGGCTGCCGGGGCTGAATGTAATATAGATCTTGCTATAAAATTTAAATTTCTCATTATATATATAATAAATATATTATATATTGCATATATAAATATAACATATAATAAATAAGTTATTAAAAATAAAAGAACATATAAAAATAATAAACATTTTATTTTTTATAAAAAACAAAAATATATCATATATAATAATATATCATACATAAATATACAATAAGTATTAAAAATAAAAAAATTAAAAAATAAAAATGTATAATAGAAATATTTATTTCTATAATAAAAATGTAATAATATGATATAAATAAGCATAATAAACTATTAAAAATAAAAATAATATAAAAAATAAAAAATATATTATATAATATACATTAAAAATATAAATTTTATTTTTATAAATATATCATATACAATAATGAAGTAGTTATTAAAAATTAAAATATAATACATAAAATATTTCATAATAAAATATATAATAAAAATAATATATTATATAATAAATATAATATAAACAATATAAGTATAATAAATATAATAAATATAATGTAATAAGTTACTAAAAACAAAAATATAATATAAATAAAAAATAAAAATCTTCATAAAAAATAAAAATATAATATATAATAAAACAAGTATAATATAATAAATATAATTTAATAAATATAATGCAATAAATATAATTAAAATTAAAATATATTTATAAATAAAAATAAATTTCATAAAAAATAAAAGTATAGGGCAGCCCTGGTGGCTCAGCGGTTTAGCGCCTGCCTTTGGCCCAGGGCGTGATCCTGGAGACCCGGGATCGAGTCCCGCGTCGGGCTCCCGGTGCATGGAGCCTGCTTCTCCCTCTGCCTGTGTCTCTGCCTCTCTCTCTCTCTCAAATAAATAAACAAAACATTAAAAAAAAATAAAAAAATAAAAGCATAATAAACATAATATATGTTATATATAATAAACATAAATAAATATTTAGACATTCTACTTATTTATTCCTGAGACCCAGGCGGAGGGAGAAGCAGGCTCCCCGCGGGGAGCCCGACGCGGGCCCCCGTGACCCCCGGCCCCCGAGGCGGCCGCGCGAGCCCGAGCCCAGAGCTGGGCGCCGGGCCGGCCGCGCACCTTCCCCGCGGCCCGGCTTCGAGCCACACTCCTGCACGGGTCAGCCCCCTTCTGCGGACCCTCCGTGCGCAGCACCTCGTTGCAAGAGCACTTCCGTGATTCTTTTTTTTTTTCTTTTTACGGCGTCTCGGGGCCGCCCGGGGGCCCAGCGGTTAGCGTGACCCTAGAGACCCAGGTTCGAGTACCGCGTCGGGTTCCCCAAGAGGAGCGTGCGTCTCGCTCCGCCTGCGTCTCCCATAAAAGCACTACAGTAGGGGCCGCGAGCCGCGGGTGTGCGCGGGTGTGCGCGGGCGGCCCGCGGCGGCCGCGGGGCGGGGAGCGCAGGCCGGCGAGGGGCACGCGGGCACGCTGCGGCCGCGGGAAAGGGCCCGGCCGCACATGGCGGACCCGCTCGCAGGGACCCGTGTCTGGGAGCCCGACCCGACGCCTCATCCTCCCGCCGACCGGCCACGCTCTCTGCCCCTTCCGGGGAGGCGCGGCGGGAGCCACCGACGCCGCGGCGGCCGGAGGACGCTTACTAACTTTTCTCAGGGACGCTCGCCGCGCGAGGAGGATCGGAGGGACTTCGACGCGGAACGGTCACGCAGGCCCCGCCCCTTCCCGGCGTGCTCAGCGGCCGAGCATGCGCGGCGCAGCCGGGGGGCGGGGCCTCCGGACCCTTCGCTGGAGGGGGCGGGGCTGACCCAGACGTCTGAGCCTCGCGGGCTGGGCTAGGGGGCAGGTGGGCCTGTTAGCGACCTCTGTCAGCGACCTCTGTAAATCCCGATTTCTGGGTCCTCGAAATGGGGTTTATTTCATTTTTTAAAATTTACTTATTTATTTATTTATGATAGAGAGACAGGCAGAGACAGGCAGAGGGAGAAGCAGGCCCCATGCAGGGAGCCCGACGCGGGACTCGATCCGGGGTCTCCAGGGTCACGCCCTGCGCTGAAGGCGGCGCTAAACCGCTGAGCCCCCCCCCCCCCCGGGGCTGCTACTATGGTATATTTTAAAGGCTACTTAATATTTTCAACACCCAGAAAAGTATAGGATCAAATAATTATGCTATTCCTAAAATCATTAGCAGGATAGTAGAAGATTTATAGAGTTGAGTGATGAATGTATTGCAGTCTCGTCTTTGACTATAATACTTCCTGTGCTACACCAATAAAAAATAAATTTATTAAAAAAATACTTCCTGTGCTATTATCAAAAGTCTATGTCCAGGGCAAAACGCCCTCCTGACCCCTGCTGCCAGGGTCCCTAAATGTCCTCTACGGTTAACCTTAAATTCAGACCCTTGGGTGATTCTGAATACTACATTGGTAACAACTGAATTTCTCCAACAGTCATTCTTACCTTCCTAATATAACCTATAGTAATTAGCTATATCATTTTATTGTTTGCTCTTTGTTCCCTTTCCTTGCCTTCTTTTGGCTAATTAGAACACTTTCTAGTATCTCATTTAACTATTGTATTTATGATCGTATCTTTTGGCATGATTTGTTTAGTAGTTGCTCTAGTGACTGCAATAAACATAATTAACTTTTCATAATCCCCTTGGAATCATATTTTACTACTTCAAGTGGAATGTAGAACTATTACCCCAAATAAATCCCTTTATCCTCTCCCCATTGTCTTGATATACTTGTTTTTTTTAATTAATTAATTAATTAATTAATTAATTAATTTATTTATTTATTTATGATAGGCACACAGTGAGAGAGAGAGAGAGGCAGAGACACAGGCAGAGGGAGAAGCAGGCTCCATGCACCGGGAGCCCGACGTGGGACTCGATCCCGGGTCTCCAGGATCGCGCCCTGGGCCAAAGGCAGGCGCTAAACCGCTGCGCCACCCAGGGATCCCTATACTTGTTTTTATGTATTAGGATCACACACCCATCAGGCAGTGTTAATAATTTTCACTGTCGACTAGTAAATATTTTTAAAAGAACTCAAGGGGAGAACAGTCTATTATGTTTACTCATATACTTACCATTTCTGTTCTTTCATTCTTGATGTTCTCCGATTTCTTTCAGGTATCATTTCCCTTCTATCTGAAGAACTTCCTTTAGCAATTCTTTTAGAACAGGACTGTTACCAACAAGTTATTTTGGTTTTCTTCTCTAATAACGTCTTTATTTTACCTCCACTTTTGAAGGATATTTTCACTACATATAGAAGTGTATTTCTTGGGACGCCTAGGTGGCTCAGTGGTTGAGCGTCTGCCTTTGGCTCAGGTTGTGATCCCAGGGTCCTGGGATTGAGTCCCGCATCAGGCTCCCCCACGTGGAACCTGCTCCTCCCTTTGCCTATGTCTCTGCCTCTCTCTGTGTGTCTCTCATGAAAAAATATATAAAAATCTTTAAAAAAAATGTATTTCTTGGGCAGCCCGGGTGGCTCAGCAGTTTAGCGTCGCCTTCAACCCAGGGTGTGATCCTGCAGACCCGGGATCCAGTCCCTGCATGGAGCCTGCTTCTTCCTCTGCCTGTGTCTCTGGCGTCTCTCTCTCTCTCTGTCTCTCTGAATGAATAAATAAAATCTTTAAAAAAATGTATTTCTTGATAGGGTGGAAGAAAAATCCTCGTGAGGTGCTATCAAGTGACCACCACTGACTTTGTCATAATATCTGGAAGATGGAGTACTCTGATTCCAGTCTAGAACATATAATAACAATTTTGACACCTTCCCTCCCTGATTGATCAATTTGTGATGTCCAACTCTTGGAACTTCCATATTATGTAAGCCGGTAGATTCTCTCTTTTTTTTTAAATTTTATTTATGATAGTCACACACAGAGAGAGAGAGAGGCAGAGACATAGGCAGAGGGAGAAACAGGCTCCAGGCACCGGGAGCCCGACCTGGGATTCGATCCTGGACCTCCAGGATCGCGCCCTGGGCCAAAGGCAGGCGCTAAACCGCTGCGCCACCCAGGGATCCCAATTCTCTCTTTTTTTTAAGTTTTATTTATTTGTTTTAGAGAGAGAGAGAGAGCGCACTAGTGGGGCAGTAGGGGTGGGGAGGAAAAGAAGGAGAGAGAAAATCTTCAAGCAGACTCCCCTGTGAGCGCAGAGCTCAAGTGGGGCTTGATTCTGGGACCCTGAGATCATGGCCTGAGCTGAAATCAAGTTGGCCATTTAACTCACTGAGCGACCCAGGGGCCCCAACCAATAGATTCCCTATATATTTAACCTTCTTTGATTTGGTTTCCTGTCACTAGCAGCCCAAAGTCTTGTCTAGTAAATGTGTATCCATGAGCAATTGCTGACAACAAATGCATTTTCTTTTCTTTTCTTTGCATTTTATTTTCTAAGTTGATGTAACTTTGTCCAAGCAAGATAAAGCAGTTAAATCTTCAAGATATGTAGATTCTTGTTTCTTTTTTTAATTATTTATTTATTTATAATAGTCACACACACACACACACACAGAGAGAGAGAGAGAGAGAGAGAGAGAGAGAGAGAGAGGCAGAGACACAGGCAGAGGGAGAAGCAGGCTCCATGCAGGGAGCCTGACGTGGGATTCGATCCCGGGTCTCCAGGATCGCGCCCTGGGCCAAAGGCAGGCGCTAAACTGCTGCGCCACCCAGGGATCCCCTAGATTCTTGTTTCTAATAAATGAATGACTTATACAAATAAAATATATGCATGAAAGATAAGCCCTAGCTTTTGTGTAACAACTTCAGGAACCTGGAGCACAGTGTACATCCCATATCAGAGCGTTTCTGATTATTATCAGACCAAGGGAGCCAAGGGAGAAAAAGCAGCACTCTAAAAAAGATTGAATCCTAGTTCCAGGTGAGGACTACCATTGAGTGTGCAAACTGTTCACAGGGAAGTTATCTAATTTTTGAGACATTAATTTGTATTATATACCTTTCCTCCCTTGCATCTTTGACAGAGGGGTTTTGGTAGGACCCAAAGCTGTTAGAAGTCAAGAGCAGCCTTATGTTTTGTAAAAATTCAACCTGACTTGAAAAGATTATGAAAATATCCAGGGAGAGAGAGAGAGAGAGAGAGAGAGAGAGAGAGAGAGAGAGAGAAGACAGGAAAGTGCCTTAAAGAAAAGGAAGAAAAGATTTCAGAAGGCTAGGAAGGGGGTGAAGATCTACAGTTGTGTGATTTCAGGGAAGCTGCACCGTGTTCTTTGACAGCACTGGGGGGAGAGGGCTGGACCTTGAGCATAAGGATTTTTATTCTCGATGAAGATCCTCATGCCCCAAAGCCATGGGTCCTGGTGCAGATTGGGGCAATAGCCATCTCTGTGGTAACCAGTCTGGATTATTGAGCCAATCGCTGCAGAGCTTCCCTGATGCTTTAATGGTGGGCGATCCACCCAGGCACCTATACATACCTCTGGTGGATTTCTTCTTGGGAATGCCAATGATGACCGAGATTGGATTTTCTGCCAGTGTAATAGTGTGAGGAGGCTTCAGATTTGGGTTTAAGTTCAATTATGAGAAAAATGTTATTTTCTTCATACCTGAATATGCCCTAAAATTCATCCCTGTTACTTCTGGATGAAGCATCAGACCCCAACTTAGTTCCTTGACTTACTACTTTTGATTAAGTATCTGAAGAGACAGGCCCAATAGTCGAATCATAGTCCTGTAATTCCCCAGGAGCTCATCCAGAATCAATGCCTTTATACCCTTAGGACAACACCTAAACATTAAGAGTGTCCTACTTTGGATCCAAGAGTAAGAGTTCAGAAAGAATGAGAATTAATCCCACAACTGTGTTCTTTGTATTTTATATCCCCCCAAAAGACTTCTCATATATTTCCCCTCAAACTATAACCTGTATCACTTTTATAATGGAAAAAATGCCCCATAACTTTATTGAAAAAAAATCAAGAGTTAAAGAATGATCCGAAATAATAGTTTGAGATTTCCCCAGGTCATTAGTACACAGCTAATTGCCAATAACTATCTGCAGGTAGAGAGAATAAGAATGAGTCACAATTCTGTTTGTCTCCTTGTTGAGCCCTTTTCCCTCTTCAAGTTTCTTTATGCTAAAGGAAAATTTCATTTTATTATTTTTAAAAAAGATTTTATTAGAATGCCTGGATGGCTCAGTGGTTGGGCTCTGCTTTCAGCTCAGGGCAAAATCCTGGAGTTCAGGGATCGGAGTCCCACATTGGGCTCCATGGAGGGAGCCTGCTTCTCCCTCTCTGCCTCTGTCTCTGCCTCTCTCTCTGAGTCTCTCATGAATAAATAAATAAAATCTTTAAAAAATAAATAAATAAGATTTCATTTCTTTATTTGAGAGAGGGAGCACGAGGGAGAGAGAAAACACAAGCACGAGGGAGAGGGAGAAGCAGACTTCCCTGCTGAGCAGAGAGCTGGACAGACCTGGGTTCCATCCTAGGACCCTGAGATCATAACCTGGGCCGAAATCAGACACTTAACCAATGGAGCCACCCAGGTACCCTACTGAAAATTTTTAAAAGGCACCTGAATAATGTGTCATGTCTCAGGACAACTATTTGAAATATGTGTGTGTGTGTGTGTGTGTGTATATATATATATATATATACACACACACATATACTTGTATATATATAAAGTATATACTTAATATATATTTACTTATATATATTTATATACTTTTTTCT